CTCCCTAGGCTCCCACCGGCCTTAAGGGGAAGTTTGTCCTTGCACTGCCTCCGGGCCAGTGGAGGTGACAAGAGTAACAAACCAGTAGGCCCCGATCTCTCAGGTCTTAATACGTTCCCTGAGAACTAAAGGTGCCCAGGGCCGAGCCCAAGGCGCTTGGGGTCAGGCCTCCGTGGAGCAACGCTGTGAGTCCGAAATCCCGGCCAGCACGCGCCGCTCGCCGGACTGGGCACGGGAGGGGGCGGGGCCTAGAGTCGCAGCGTGGTTTCCCGGGTGATGGCCACGCGGAAGAGGTGGGGCTACGTTCCTGGTTCCCACTGCCCGGCTTCTGGGTCCGAGGCCTCCGAGTCGGCCAAAAGCCGGAAGAAGAGAGCGCCAAGGACTGGCAGCGCTGGATGGGGTAATCCCAGTCGAGGGGACCTACGGCAGAGCTTGAGTGGGACTTGGGAGGGGCGGAGTTTGGTGGGCGTGGCCGGCGGTTCGGCGGTTCTTCCCGCACTCTGATCTGCGGCCCGTAGGTCTGAGTCGGGGACGGCGGCGCAGGTGGGCCATGCTCCGGCACTCCCGGTCGCTGTGGGAGCTGGTGGAGGAGCACGTTCCACTCCAGGAGCGACCCGAAGTGAAGAGGATTCTGGGGGAGGCGGCGGTGGACCTTAGCCTGGAGCTGCGGGAGGAGGTGGGGAGAGGGAAGGTGGGCCACACCCCTGGCCTGCCCCACGACCCGGGAGATTTCCCACCTCCTGCGGATCCCTGGCCCCGCTGGGTAACTCCCGAGATCCTATCGGGTCTCACTGTCCTGGCCCTCTCACTGTCCTGGCCCTCCCCCTCACTCCTCTAGCCCCCACCATTCCGGTCACCCTCTTCCCAGTCGCAAGGTATCCCAGCTCTCCTTGCAGGTGGCAATGTTACGGGCACTGCTCCAAGAGGCTCGATCCTCTCAAGCCCCCAGCTCCCGCCCCATCTCTGACCCCTCTTCTCTTCTGGCACCACCGCCTATCCTAAAGGACCTCGTGCGCCAGGAACTCCGGCAGTTGCTCCAGGGTCTCCGCCACAAAGCCATCTCTGAGGGCAGGTGGGAGCCTCAGGCCTGGGCCCCCTTCCCCAGACATCAGGTGGGCTAGCCCTGCCCCTAACAAGGAGCCAGGGTTGCCTTTTCTGTAGTTTCCAGAAAGAAGCCTCTCACTTTCCTTCCTGTGCACTTTCTGCAGGGACCAGGCCCAAGCTTGGGTCAAGTATAGCCCCAGGGTCCTGCGCTTTGCCTTGGAGGAGCCCAGGTGTGATTTGCCAGAACAGGAGGTATTCCAGATGAGAGGTGGTGGACCCAGGTAAACTGATAGTAGGAGAGAGGGATCTGTCCCTGCTTGGCAGAGGGCCCCAGGCAACTGGTGGGTTGCACCTGGCTCCATGGAGGAGATTCCAGTCATGGGCTGGGAACTTTCACAGCCACTTGTGATAAAGATCTGCACATGAGGGCTACCGAAAGCCAGAGGAGACACCTGCCTAGCCTGGGGACAGGCAAAGCTTCCTGGAGAAAGTGGTTTGATCTGTGTGTTGTAGTATGAGGAGCAGTTTTCAGGGAGATGAAAGAGAGAAGAGCTTTGTAGGAAGAGGGAAGAAAGGAGGCCATGTCCAGCAGGCAGTTGTTCCTCCGGCCTAGGGAACAGGAGTGAGGGCTGGGCTAGGGAGGCAGGGAGAGCTGAAGGGGAGGGCTACAAATGGTATTTACATTTGTAGCTGGGACTGAATGAGATAAATGTTCATGAGTGCATGGCAGCAACTTCTTATTCTGATCCTCACAGCCTGAGGAGGTGGGCAGTCTCCATTTTTCACAAGAAGAAATTAAAGGCCAGGCACAGTGGCTCATGCCTGTAATCTCACTGCTTTAGGAAGCTGATGAGGGAGGATGGCTTGAGGCCAGGAGTTTGAGATGAGCCTGGGCAACACAGGGAGACCCCATCTCTACAAAAAGTGAAAAAAAAAATAGCCAGGTGTGATGGTACATTCATATATTCCCAGCTACTTGGGAGGCTGAGGTGGGATAATTGCTTGATCTCAGGAATTCGGGGCTGCAGTGAGCTGTGATCACACCTGTGTGCTCCAACCTGGATGACAAAGACCCTGTCTCAAAAGAAAAAAAAAATTGGGGGCAACATAGTGAGATCCGTCTGTGCAAAAAAATTAAATGGGTTGGTTACATGCACCTGTAGTCCCAGCTACTCAGGAGGCTGATGTGGGAAGAGCACTGAGCCCGGGAGGTCGAGGCTGCAGTGAGCCAAGATGGTACCACTGCACTCCAGCCTGGGCAACAGAGCAAGATCTTGTCTAAAAAAGAAAAAAAAAAGGCTGGTCCGATGGTAGTGGGTTATCAGAACTTATTAACATTAGTGTCACTAAAGTTGGTATACAACCCCCCACTGCTAAATTTGACTGGCTTAAAAAAAAAAAAAGACGAATGAAAAAGAAAAGAAGAAACTAAAGCTCAGAAGGGATAAGTGATTTGCCTAAAGTCACACACAACGAAGGGTGGCAGAGCTCATTTGCAAACCTAGGTTCCCAAATTCTTACTCTTTGCACTATATTATTTTGACTTTATGAGAAAAGAAACAGTTGTCTAGGAGAAGTGATGTTGGGCCCTGAAGGCCTGGGGTGAGCAACGTGGGGAGAATGATATTGATTTCATTGCCTGCAGCAGTCACAGAGAACTCACCATCATCAAGGACCAACTGAACCTGTCCAACATTGACCAGGTGGCCAGACACCTGAGGTGAGGCCCAGGGGCACCTGCCTGTGTGTAGGCAGGGGTAGAGGCAGGGATGGATCTTGAGGTGCTGGGATTGTGAAAGAGGAGGAGGGTAGTACACCTGGCGGGGAGACCCATGTGCATAAGGCTGAGAGGTGGAAAGCGCTGGCTACTGCAGAGCTAGTGAAGTTGCTCTCGATAAGCAGCCAAGTACAGATGCCGTGGCTAAGCATGGTGATGCATGCCTAGAATCCCAGCAATTTGGGAGGCCGAGGCAAGAGGATCACTTGGGCCCAGGAGGTTGAGACCAGCTTGGGCAACATGGCAAAACCCCATCTCTACCAAAACAAATACAAAATTTAGCTGGGCATGATGGTGCACGCCTGTACCAGCTACTTGGGAGGCTGAGGTGAGAGGGGATTGATTGAGCCCTGGAGGGCAAGGCTATAGTGAATCACGATGGGTGGCAGAGCAAGACCCTGACTCAAAAATAAATATAAATATCCTGACATAGCGGGTAGCCCCAAAGGATTTTAAGCAGCGGAAGGGCTGTGATGTGGGGGAAGATGGAGGCAGGAAGGATCACAGTGCAGAAGTGTGGAAGAGAGAAGGATGCCTGCCAGGGTGAGGCAGGTGAGGAGAAGACACTTCCTGCCCAGAAAGGCTTGCAGGGGCCAGAAGTTATGCTGGGGCAGCCCCCAGGCAGCAGAGGGCACTGTGGGCTGAGGAAGGATGGGTTGGGTAGGGCTCCTGAGGCTGGAGGTTGGGACCTTGTGGTGGTCTCAGCTGAGCCCTGGTCCTGAGTCTCAGGTTCTGGCTGCTGCTCCCTCATGTCCCAGGGGCCTTCTGGAGGAGGAGTGTCACACCTTGGAGAGGGAGATCCCCATCCTGCAGGTGAGCCGCAGCCCTGGCCCCTGCCCCAAGCCTCACTGCTGAGCATAGACACTCACGCTTCTTTCTCACCTGGGTGAGATCCATGTACCTTGTGCATACACAGATTCACCTACAGGCTGTGTGAGTCCTGTGTCCATTTCACATGGGTGTGCGCTTGTGTACACCTCCAAAATCCTAGAGGGCCAGGATTCTAGGTGAGCCCTTAAGGCCAGGGCCAACCATTTTAGGTTAACTTTTTGGATTGGCCCCACCCAGGTCTTTTGCCTCCTTCCTTTACCTAAGTCTGGGTACAGGCCCAACCACCGTCTTGCCAAACTCAGCTCTTCTGTAGGGCTGGTGTTCCCTCAAGAACAGGGCTGCCCTCACGGTGGATGGGCTGAAGGGGCTGCATAGGCCTGCCCCGGGGATTGATGCTTCGCCCCCCCCCCCGCCCCCCGCCTTGAGTCCAGGCACTGATGCAGCTCTCCCTGCAGCGCTGCCTGGAAGAGGAGTATATGAGGCCTTGCCACCCCTCCAAGGCAGCCTTGGAGCCCACTCTGGCAGGTGAGGACACGGAGCAGGCCCCAGAAGACCACGCCTCCTGCTCCCGCCCCATACTTGTACACACCCTAGAAGAGCTGGGCAGTCTTAGCCGAATCTCTCTTTCAGAGCTAAGGGAACAGAAGAAGGCCATGGAGCAGGAGCTGTGGATATCTGTGAGGCCTTCTTGCGTGTCTCCCAACCACAGGTAAACCACAGCAGTAGACATGGGACAGGGAGGACTGAAGGATCAGACCACCACCCCCAACAGTTACTCTTTCCTGTCCAGGCGGTGGCCCTTGGGGTCCTCCATGCAGGGCCTCAGCGCCCTGCCTTGCCTCTGCGGGGCTGCTGGAGTTCGGGCTGCCCCTCTCCAGTGCCACCTGCTTGCACCTCCTCTGGAGTGCTGCCCCCGACCTCGAAGCCAGGCGGCCATCCACCGCTGGGGACGGCAGCTTCAGTGCAGCCCCAGGGAAAGGCCGGTTTCTACGCCCACATCCAGCGCAGCGCCCCAGGCCCCAGCCTGAAGGGCTGGTCACCAAGTGGGCTCCAGCTTATGCCAGGACATGCCCATCTGCTGCTGCCGCCTCAGCTGCCTTGGCCCAGCCAGCTTCAGATCTGGTCTTGGATGAGCTCTTGCCAGGACCCCAAGGCTGTTCCTCTGACCCTTGCCCTACCCTCTCAGATCCCTGGAGTCTGGAGCTGATGGCCCGGCATCTGTCCCAATCAACAAAGCCTTTGGCCTTTCTCCTCCCAAGCCTCCACAAAGGTCTGGAAGACAGAGGTCCCATTCCAGCCTGACTCTTGTCCCCTGGGGGACCCAGACAAAACACAACAGCCACTCAGAGACAGGAATAGAAATTTCATTAAAATCTATGGACTTTAAAATCCTAGTGGTGCATGATGGGCAGGGTTGGGCGGTGCACCGTTATTGCTACAGAGGATCAGAGGTGGTGTGGCCAGGGCTTTCACTGCACAGAGGACAGACAAATGGACACTTCAGGGCTTCAGACACCTCAGAAGGAGCTCCTACTCCAGAGAGGGGAAGGGCACATGGGCTGGGGCCATTTGGCACATGAATGAGGGCAGCACATTTGGAAAGACTGGGCCTTTAGCCTGGTGGAGGGAGGGTGAGGGGGGTGTGCAGGTTCCCCTTCCCTGGGGGGATGGGCTCAAACCTCCTGTGGAGCAGCCCCTGCCCCATCCCCCAGAAACAAATGCTTTGGGCAGGCTGCTGGGTCGTGGGCCTCTGCTGGCTGGGCCTGACAGCCAGGGCTGGAATGAGGGGTGGAGGCCCTGGAGCAGCCCAGTGAGGTGCAGGCAGGCCTGGAAGACAGACTGGGCCAGAGGCTGGGGTGAAGAGGTGGCAACCACAGATAACATAATTTTTACAAAAATAATTACACAGATCAGCAGGGCTGGGCAGTAACACTGTGCAGCCCCCACCCTCACCCTGCCCCTAGGGAGGAGGAGCCAAATGTGCCGGGCAGAGGCTGGGGTCTGCTGTGAGGGCAGGAATGCTAGTCATGGGGCTGGAGGCCCGGGAAGGAGACAGCTGGGGGCCCACCCAGAACCTCAGCTCAGGGCAGAGTATAGGGGTATCAGAGGCCATGTAAAGCCCCTCAGGCTACTGGGTACCTGGCCTGAGACCCCTCCAAAGTGCTTTGGACCTCCCAGCAACCCTCCATTCCCACCCCCACCCCCAGCTGCCATCTTGGCATCCAGAGGACGTGTAAACACTGGGGACACGAGCACAAATGACTGCACTAGCAGTGGTGACCAAGGTGACAGCAGCCATCCTGGCCAGGACTTGGCAGGGGGCAGACAGAGACACCTGTCCTCTGCCTCACCAGTCTCTGCGGTGGGAGCACAGGGTGGAGGTGGGGCCACTCTCCTGGCAGCTGTGCTCATATCCGGGAGTCCTGGAGGCGGCTGGAGCCATTACTGCCCACAATGGGGATCTGGGCCTTGTCCGGGTGCAGTGGCTGGACCTCGAAGCCATCCTCAGGAGAAGGGGCTATGGTGGGGGCATAGCGCCCAGTCCGGTGCTCCAGGAGGGCCGGGCCCCATTCTCTGCTTGGCTTTGTGGCATTTTTCAAACGCTGCATGAGGTGGGCATGGGGCACAGGGACAGGGCACGTCAGGAGGGAGCCCTTAAGCCCCTTCCAGCAGGCCCCTCCCATTTTGCCTGGCTACCCAGCCTGCCCCCGCCCTCACCTGGAGGAGGGTGTCCCCGTCTGTGCGGCAGAGCCGGAATATGGCGTAGAGGGGGATGCAGAGGACGGAGGACAGAGCCATGAGGAAGCCGATGGCCACAGCCCAGCCTGGGTACTGGTAGTGGTTGTAGGTGATCGGCCGGTACTGGATCACAGTGAAGACTAGAATAAACTGCATGGGGGTGGGGGTGGGATTGGGTATCAGGCTGGCCCAGAGCCCAGACCCCAGGCCAGCCCTCCACCAGCACCCTTTCCTCTCTGGTTCCCAAACTAGAAGGGCAGAACAGACAGCTGGCAACATCTGGGCCATGGAAAAAGTGGGCAGGGCCAGGGGCCTGGGGCACTGTGGGCAGGAAGACTATGGCGGGAGAAGTGTGTTTTCACCACAGTCCTGACCTGGCTCGAGAGCAGTCAAGCAGCTACTGCCTTTGGAAGTCAGTCAGCTCTGCTCAAAGACTCGCTATAGCTCCCTGTGGCCCACTAAAGTAGGGCCACATCCTGGGTCTTTAGGCTGTCACCTGGCAGTGTGACCTCAAATTGTCCTGCCAGCCACACTATCCGGCCCTTGATGTTTCAGTCACACCCAGTGTTCCCACCCTCTCTTCATTTATTCTGGGGAATCATCCTCTGCATCATCCTCTGCCAAACCCTATGCCAGTGCCCTCTCCTTCAAGCAGCCATCCCAGATTTCCCCTATTTGCTTCTGCAGGTCCTCTCCATGGTATTTTCCATCTGCTTCCCTTAGAGTTAGTGGGTTTACTGTTTCCATAAACCTGGGAGCTCCTGGGATTGCATCAGCTCTGGGTGTGCAGTGCCCACTACAGTGCCTGGCAAAGTCTCCTGAGTTGATTTGAACTGATGTGTGCGGAGAGGCAGACGAAGATGGAAGAGGGTAGGGCAAAGCTACCCTCTGAATGTCACTACCGCCGACAGTGACATTCAGCCCAGGGAAGCTCCCCAGGCTGGAAATGGTGAATGTCAGGCTGTGGTGCTCTAGGGAGGCTTGGAAAGAGATGGGTGAGTCTGGAAATAAAACTTGTGGCTGCAGCAACAAAAGGAGTGAACGCAGGGAGAGACTCAGGCAGTGGCGGGCAGGCCACCCAGAGGGCTGGGGGCGGGTGTCCCAGCACCCTCCTCCTGAGCCCCCAGCCACGTCCTGGAGCACAGGGCTATTCTAGAATGCAAGACCCACATCCAAAGTGGGGGACCCTCCTGGGATGCTGCACACACTGGGAGCCTATAATAGATTTCCCAAATGGAACAGATCCTGACCCACCTGTGGACAGATCCCTTATTTGAACTGACAGAATGGTGGAGTTTGTCAAAAAGAGCTTTTCAGAAATATGAACAAGGAAAGCCCCCCAGAGAAAACACAACAGCCCAGAAAGTCAGGCTGGAATTACCCCAAAGGGAAGATTCTAGGTTTCCCTAAAGGCAACTCCGGCCTGCTTCCTGAGCACGGGAAGGGCCCTGCCCTCTGTGCCTCAATCCTGTGGATCAGATCCTGGCTGAGGCCCCGGCAGACCCTTCTTTGCTTGTTTCCTTCCTCCCCACTGCCCTTGACAGGTGCCCCTGGTCTCTCTCCAGGACGTCAGCCTAGCCTGAATGCTGGGAGACCCTCTGAGCCGAGAGGGCTGAGCTCCCCTCGGGCCACAGCCCCAGAGGTCACAGCATTCTGGAGTGGTGGTGCTTGCCCTCCCCAGCCTCCCACCACTGAGACTTCCGCTCCTCCTGTTTCAAAGCTGGGCCAGTGGCCAGAGGAGGAGTCTGTGCCAGGCTCGGGAACATCCCATACCCTATAAGGGGAGGCCCCAGCCCTCCACAGGCCTTTATTCAGAAACATGAGCCACAGGGGAAGTCTGGGGCTGAGCCCCCTATGCCACCAAGGCATTGAACATGATAAGAATGTGACTCCGACGCTGCCCTGGCCACTGGGCCAGCACTCTGACTGTCACTCAGAGGTGGCCCTGCCTGTCCTCTGTGGAGTGACCATTACACTGTCAATACCTGCCTTCCCCGAATCCCACCCAAAACAGGAAGGAGCCAAGTCGTATGGCTTTAGCCCCTGGACCCTTCCTCCGTCCTGCAGAGGCGGTTCTAGTGTGGCACTGGCCCAGCGTGCAGGCTTGAAATTGGACTACCTGATTTGAATCATGGCTCTACTTCTTCTTCTTTTTTTTTTTTTTTTTTAATTTAATTTGAGACAGAGTCTCGCTCTGTCGCCCAGGCTGGAGTGCAATGGCATGATCTTGGCTCACTGCAACCTCTACCTTCTGGGTTCAAGAGATTCTCCTGCCTCAGACTCCAGAGTAGCTAGGATTACAAGCATGTGCTACCACACCCAGCTAACTTTTTGTATTTTTAGTAGAGACGGCGTTTCACCGTTTTAGCCAGGATGGTCTTAAACTCCTGACCTCATGATCCACCTGCCTTAGCCTCCGAGAGTGCTGGAATTACAGGCGTGAGCCACTGCGCCTGGCCAGCTCTACTTCTTATTAGCTGTGTGACCATTGGCCAATTACTTAACATCCCTGTGCCTCAGTTTCCTCATCTGTAAAATGGGGATAACAATGACATCTAGGAGATCTGTATCATGGGTTAGATGGGAACAGTGCGTGGAAAGTGCCTGCTTCCTTCCATGGTGGACTCTTTTCACCAATTCAGCTCCATGAAGGGAGTTTCTCAGCTGTTGAATATTCATAAAACCTGGAACTCCCTCACCCAAGCCAGCCCACCTCACTGCCTGGAAGGCCAGAGCTGACATCTGACTCCTACAGCCTGGTCTATTGTCCTTGGGCTGCTGCTGGAATGCTGGTTCCCACCACATTGCCAAGCCCCTGGAACACTCTCCCTAGAGGGACGGGAAATGAGGCCAGCAGACAGAGGCTGACACGCTATCAGTACTGACTCCTGATACTCAGGGGTGCGCAGGCAGGAACACCAGGGAGAGAGCTGCCACGAGCCACTTTCCCTTCCGAGCCTAAGCAATGTCTGCAGTCAAATACAGGCTGCGGCACTCCCTCCTAAACCGAGGCCAGGGCCCAGGCGGAGCTGGGTCTCCACGTGCCTCTCCAGCTCTCTCCAACCTCCCTCAGCCTCCAGAGTCACGGGTGTGGAGCTCCAGCCAGGTGTAGGGGTTCCTGCTCTCCCCTCGCTGGGTCCCAAAAGGACACATGGCCAAGGGGCAGGGGGGTGGGAGGGGCTGGCCAGGGAACTCACGAAGATGATGGCAGGAGAGATGAAGCGCCAGCAGATCTGAAAGAAGAGGGGCGGTGGGAATCCCAGCATCATCTGGATGTCCTGGAAGTAGTTCCGGTGCCCTGGAGAGAGGGGGTGTCAGCAGGCCCACAGGACAGAGTGGGCGTGCCAGGGGCCGGGCCACAGAAGGCCAGAGGCTCAAGTGCTCACCATAGATGTACATGATGGCCACACACATGATGCAGGAGATGACCACCAAGGAGAAGCTGGCCGCGTAGTTGTCCATTAGCAGCAGCCAGTAGATGCCTGCCTGGGGAACAGCGGGCGGCTGTAGGAGCTGCCTGCAGCCCGGGCTCCCCGACCTTCCCCACACGTTCTGGCAACTCTGGCGCAGCCCTTCCCTTACTCAGCTCTTACCTGGCTGGTGAGAGGGATGCCCAGCAGGAAGCCAGCCACAGCCACACCCAAGGTCACATAGGTCTTTCTCTGCAGGATCCACTCATTCCCCACCTCATCCACAATGGCTGTGACCAGCGTCTCCAGGAGGCAGAACTGTAGGATGGGGCTGTCAGATCGGGGACCTGCCCCTTGTTCCTGTCGTCTCCCTTTCCCAACCCTCTGGCCCACGTCCCACACCTCGTACCTGAGTGCCCAGCCCCAGCAGGATGAGCATGAAGAAGAAGAGCAGAGACCACAGCGGGGAGATGGGAAGCAGCGTAAGGGCCTCGGGGTAAGCCACAAAGGCCAGGCCAGGGCCGTGGTCTGCCACGCGGGACACATCCACGCCCAGGTGATTGGCCATGAAGCCAAGGATGGAGAAGATGACAAAGCCAGCATAGACACTGGTGGCACAGTTGGTGATGCTGATGATGACACTGTCCCTGATGGAGAGGAAAACAGTTCAGCTCCCCTCTCCCCAGTTTGGGCCAAGAGGAGACATGGAGACAGGGAAAGTCCTAGAAACAAAGGCATCCCCAGCTCCTTTTTTTGGGGTGGGAGACAGGGTCTCACCCTGTTGTCCAGGCTGGAGGGCAGTAGTGCTATCAGCTCACTGTAGCCTTGATCTCTTGGTCTCAAGCAGTCCTCCCACCTCAGCCTCCTGAGTAGCTGAGACTACAGGTATGTGTCACCACACCCAGCTAATTTTCATTTTTATGTTTGTAAAGAAAGATGGGGTCTCACTATGTTGTCCAGGCTTGTCTTGAATTCCTGGGCTCAAGTGATCCTTCCGCCTTTGCCTTTCAACGTGCTGGGATTACGGTGTGAAGCACTGAGCCTGGTCCCCAGCTCTCTTCTGGTCTGTTCTGGGCATTGTTAAGTGAGCCTGAGCTGCCTGGTCCTCATAGACCCCTGGGACTTCCCATCACTCCTCTCTCCTGCCTAAGCCTCTCTCCCCATTCTGCAACAACTTTATCCAGAACCAGTGTTCCTAGAACCTCAAGGCCATGAGGGGAAAGGAGGCCTGGGGGTGATGGGGGCGCTGGAGCTGGGATCAGGCTGCAGAGAGGGCAGGGAGGGGAGGCCTCAGGCTGGCAGGAGCGCTCACCGGTAGCAGTTGTTGTGGAACTTGTTGTAGGAGGCCATGGTGATGAGGCCTCCCCATGCACAGCCCAGCGAGTAGAAGATCTGGGAGGCTGCATCACCCCACACCTGCAGGGAGGACAGGCGGGTGAGGAGCTGTGGGCAGAGGTAGGCACCTCCCTGGGCCCTCCCGACCCCCTTCTGGTTTCCCTCACATCCCACCTTGGCCTCCAGGATCTTGTCCCACTGTGGGGTTAGGTAGTACATGATGCCCGTGAAGGCTCCCTCCAGGGTCACTCCACGGACAAACAGGATGGTCAGCACCACATAGGGGAACGTGGCTGTGAAGTACACCACCTGGCACGAGAGGGCTCCATGGACTCTTCCAGGCTCTCCCCTGCCTTGGGCACCACCACCCTGGCTCCCTAATCACCACCAGCCCCTTGTCCCTCTCCCCCTCCAGAGTCCCTTCAGCAACCCCTCCCCAAAACACACACATAACCCAGGCGGGGGCAGGGCCTTTCTGGGTGGGCACAGATCCCGCTGGGGGGGGTGGGTACTTGCTTTCCCTGAAGATTTGACACCTCGGATGAGGCAGAGGAAGACGACCACCCAGGAGACACCGAGGCAGCCAAGGAGGGGCAGCCGCACCTCCCCAAAGTTCCCGATGTCGTCTGACAGCTTCAGCACGTACAGCCTGGGAAGGGGAGACTGTCACTGAGGGGCCAGCCCCCGCTGCCCAGCAGCATATTCCCAAGGCCCAGGACCCTCCTGTGTCATGAGGTCCCAGCAGTCACCTTGTATGAAATGGGAGCTATTTCATGGGCCCACCTGCTGTAGCACCTGGGGACCCGACACAGTCCACTGCTCTGCAACCTCTCCCAGGCTCTTCAAGGGCTCCTAGAGGAGGCACCCCAAGCTTGGGTGGTTGTCCCAGTCCCACCCAAGGAGGTGGGAGAGGAGATGGGTCCTTGTTCCCAGCCAGGCTCAGCCCAGGTCCTTGTTGGCACATTTCTCCCTCGGGAGTGCCTTTTCCTCATCCTGTCAGATGTCACTTCCTCCAGGAAGCCGCCAGTCAGCATTTCACCTGCACCAATCAACTCTACCTCTGATAAACTGAGGGAGCCAGGGGAGTGCTGAGTAAAGATTGGACCCTGGCAAGGCACAGTGGCTCACGCCTATAATCCCAGCACTTTGGGAGGCTGAGGCAGGTGGATCGCCTGAGGTCAGGAGTTCAAGACCAGCCTGACTAACACGGCGAAATCCCATCTCTACAAAAATAGAAAAATTAGCTGGGCATGATGACAGATGCCTGTAATCCCAGCTACTCGGGACGCTGACGCGGGAGAACCACATGAACCTGGGAAGCAGAGGTTGTAGTGAGCCGAGATCACATCACTGCACTCCAGTCTGGGTGACAGAGCAAGACTCCATCTCAAAAAAAGAAACTAAAAAACAAAGATTGGACCCAAATTTCTCCCCTCTGGTGGCACCATCTGGCACCCTATGCCATACCAGCTGGGATCTTTTGATCAACCAGACAGAGTGCCTAGCCCTGAGCTAGATGCTGGGCATACAGGCCTACAGGGGCATCTCCCTGGCCCTCAGGGAAGAGGGCAGAAGACAACTGCTCCACTTCCAGCATCACCAACTTCACTTTCAAAGTAAAGAAACCATTTCTTGTTCGAAGGATTTTTTGTTTTGTTTTTGAGACAGAGTCTTGCTCTGTCACCCAGGCAGGAATGCATTGGTGTTATCTTGGCTCACTGCAGCCTCTACCTCCCAGGTTCAAGCGATTCTCCTCCCGAGTAGCTAGGATTACAGGTGTGTGCCACCACAACTGGTTAAGTTCGGTATTTTTAGTAGAAATGGGGTTGGACCATGTTAGCAGGCTGGTCTTGAACTCCTGACCTCAGGTGATCTGCCCACTTCAGCCACCCAAAGTGCTGGGATTACAGGTGTGAGCCACCAAGCCCAGCCTGAAAGGTTTTTTAATACTTTGTCTACTAACCATACATGCTAAACAGGTAGGTCCCAGTAGCCACCTTGTGTAAGATTACATTGTGAAGCACTGAACCTGGCCCCCAACTTCTTTTCTGGTCTGTTCCGGGCATTTTTAAGTGAGCCTGAGCTGCCTGAGTCCTCACAGACTCCTGGGACATCACTGTCCACTGAGAGGCCCTGTATTATATGATGCCTGTTAGCCTCTTCTGTCTTATTGCTCATGTTTTATATTATTATTATTATTGAGACAAGGTCTCACTCTATAGCCCAGGCTGGAGTGCAGTGGCACAATTATGGCTCACTGCAGTCTCAACCTCCCAGGCTCAATTGATCCTCCCACCTCAGCCTCCCGAGTAGCTGGGACTACATGTGTGCACCATCATGCCCAGCTAATTTTTGGGTTTTTTTTTGTAGAGATGTGGTAACACCATATTGCCCAGGCTGGTCTTGAACTTCTGGGCTCAAGAGATCCTCTTGCCTTGGCCTCCCAAAGTGCTGGGATTACAACAGGTGTGAGCCACTGCACCTGGCCTATATTATTTTTTATTGCAAGAATACAGCATTAAAATATTAGGGATTGAAGAGTTTAAAAGGCTAGCCTGGAAACCAAATGATGAATTCTAGCTTTATTTTTATAGCACCATATTCTGTTTTTTTTGTTTGGTTTTGGACCACATGCTTTTGAGTTCAAACAACCTAAGGACATGTGGTACCCAACATATTTACAAGTGGCCTCTTGACACATGACATCTCCAGAATTATTCTGCATTGCCTAAAAGTTTTCTCCACATTACATATCTTATTTCCCCAGCCAGGTGGTGAGTGCCTTGAGAACAGGATCCCTATTTATTTCTTTTTTTTTGGAAAGAAAAAAAAGGAGTGAAGGAGAGGAAGAAAGAGGAAGAAAAAGAGGGAGAGAGAACGGAAATGTTGCTTTATTCTAAAAAAGGGGTATTAATAATGGCCGATCAATGTTTCATTTAAACCTATGAGTAGGTGTGATGTGGTATTGACAAGAATGTGTATTTTGTATATTTAAAGTGGAGAGCTCTATAAATATTTATAAGTTCATTTGTTCTGGATCTGAGTTCAAGTCCTGGATATCCTTATTAATTTTCTGTCTCGTTGAGTCTAAGTCTCTTTATAGGTCTTATGTATCTGGGTGTTAGGATCATTAGTTCTTCTTGTTGCATTGATCCTTTTACCATTATATCTTTGTTGCTTTAAAATCTATTTTATCAGATACGAGAATTGCAACTCCTGCTTTTTATTTATTTATTTGTTTTTGCTCTCCATTTGGTTGGTAAATCTTTCTCCATCCCTTTGTTTTGAGTCTTTGTGTATCCTTGCATGTGAAATGGGTCTGGATGTAGCATACCGTTGGGTTTTGGCTGTATCTTTTGATTGGGGGATTTAGTAGATTTAAATTTAGGGTTACTGCCATTTGATGTTAACTGGCTATTTTATCCATTCGTTGATGTAAATTCTTCTTTATGTTGATGCTCTTTACTTTTTGGTATATTTTTAGAAAGGCTAATACTGGTTGTTTCTTTCTATGTGTAATGCTTCTTTTAGAAGCTCTTGTAAAGCAGGCCTGGTGGTAATAAAATCTCTGAGTACTTGCTTGTTCATAAAAGATTTTATTTTTCCTTCAGTTGTGAAGCTTAGTTTGGCTGGATATGAAATTCTGGGCTGAAAGTTCTGTTCTTTAAGGATGTTGAATATTGGCCCCCACTCTCTTCTGGCTTGTAGGGTTTCTGCTAAGAGATCTGCTGTAAGTCTGATAGGCTTCCCTTTGTGGGTAACCCTGTGAGAACAGGATCCCTATTTCTTTCTTTTTTTCCTGAGATGAAGTCTCACTCTGTCGCCCAGTGGCACAATTTCAGCTCACGGCAACCTCCGCCTCCTAGGTTCAAGCAATTCTCTGGCCTCAGCCTTCTGGTAGCTGTACAGGCATGTGCCACCATACCCGGCTAATTTTTTTTTGTATTTTTAGTAGAGACGGGGTTTCACCATGTTGGGCAGGATGGTCTCAAACTCCTGACCTCGTGATCCATCCACCTCAGCCTCCTAAAGTGCTGGGATTACAGGTGTGAGCCACCAAGCCTGGCTGCACACAGATTCTGACACAGCGACTACTGCCTAGCTCCTTAACCTCCAAACAGCAGTCTCTGAATCTGAAAATATGGATACTAATATCTACTTACATAATATGCCTGGTACATAGTAGGTGCTCAAAAATAAGAGTGCTTCCTTTCCTCACTTGCGGAAGCCAGTCTGGGTTACTGTCAGGCTCATTTCCCAGGCTCTCCAGGAGAGGGCAGCAAGGAGCCGTGCTGCTGGGAAGGTGTCCTGCTTGGGACAGCGGCCAGTTAAGCAGGCCTGGCTCCAGCTCCTCCTGGGGAGTAGAGTGCAACGGCTCTACCAGCCAGATTTCTTTGAAGACTCTTCCCCTCTGATTTTACTGGATAAAATCTCTAGAGCTCTGCCCTGGGTGGGCCCAGAACTGAGAATCTCTGGCAGTTGGCCCCTGGGACAAACACCACTGGAGCATCTGGGGGCGGGGGTGGGGGTGCATGAGGCTTTGTGTTCCTGGGAGATTCCAGGAAGGTTCATCACCCCAGACTAGCTCAAGTTGCCTAGTCGACATCATGCTCAAATGCAGTTAAAAAGCCTAACTAGGCAATATCTGATTTTACTGGATAAAATCTCGTTCTCCCGTCGGACAGGAGCTCCGTGAGGACAGCGTCTTCCTCTCTGCCCTCTCTCCCCTCTGAGAGCAGTACCCGTTATCTAGTAGGTGCTCAAGAAATCAGCCGGGCGTGGCGCCTCACGCCTGTAATGCCAGCACTTTGGGAGGCCGAGGCGAGTGGATCATCTGAGGTCAGGAGTTTGAGACCAGCCTGGCCAACATGGCGAAACCCTATCTCTACTAAAACTACAAAAATTAGGCCAAGTGTGATAGCTCATGCCTGTAATCCCAGCACTTTGGGAAGCTGAGTCAGACGGATCACAAGATCAGGAGATCTAGACCATCCTGGGCAGCATGGTGAAACCCCATCTCTATTAAAAATACAGAAATTAGTTGGGTGTGGTGGCACATGCCTGTAGTCCCAGCTACTCTGGAGGATGAGGTAGGAGAATCACTTGAACCCAGGAGGCGGAGGCTGCAGTGAGCCAGGATCACACCATTGCACTCTAGCCTGGGCAACAGAGTGAGACTCTGTCTAAAAAAGAAAAAAAATTAGGCGTGGGGGTGGGTGCCTATAATCCCAGCTACTAGTGAGGCTGAGGCAGGAGAATTGCTTGAACCTGGGAGGCAGAGATTTCCATGAGCTGAGATCACACCACTACATTCCAGCCTGGGCAACAGATAGAGACTCCATCTCAAAAAAAAGAAATCATCTGTCTGTTCAGTTCCAAGTATTCTTTTAAAAAAGAAAATAAGTGTTAGAATGTTTTAAAATTTAAAAAATAAAACAGAAATGACCGGTCCAGTGACTGAGTGCCTGAGTCTGCCCATGCCTCTCTGACAGACAGCCGCTGTGGGTCCTTGAGAATAGCGGCCATGCCTTACCTGTCTTTGCATGTCTATAGCCCAGCACAGAGGCTGGCACAGGGAAGCTGTCAGAGGGTCAGAGCACTCGGGACTGGACTTAGAAGACCTGCGGTGACTTGCAGTATCCTGGGACACTCGTCCATTTCAGCCATGGCTCTCCATCACATGTGGAGAAAGCTCAAGCTCCTACCCTGGCATGGGAGGCCCTGTGTTATATGATGCCTGCTGGCCTCTTCTGTCTTATCACTCAGCGTCCCACCTGCTCCCAACCCCAGCTCCAGTTTGCCTCCTTTTGGCCTCTGCTCACCTGCTCATGTGGCTCCCAATCTCTCAACTTTCTCCCTCCCTTCCTTTTTTTCTTGAGACAGAGTCTCACTCTATCACCCAGGCTGGAGTGCTGTGGTCCAGTCTCGGCTCACTGCAACCTCTGCCTCCTAGGTTCAAGTGATTCTCCTGCCTCAGCCTCCCTAGTAACTGGGATTACAGGCACCCACCACCACACCTGGCTAATTTTTGTATTTTTAGTAGAGATGGGGTTTCACCATGTTGGCCAGACTGCTCTTGAACACCTGACCTCGTGATCCACCTGCCTCAGCCTCCCAAAGTGCTGGGATTACAGGTGTGAGCCACCAGGCCTGGCTTCCCCTCTCTCTTCTCTGGGAAGCCCTGACTGCCTGCTCTTGCCCCATCCTCTTAGCACCAAGCACTATCCCTTTGTGTCCCCATGACACCCCTGTACACACCTGGGCCGAAGCACCTGCCCTACTGTGATTAGCAATCTGTCTCCCCAGTGCCCTGTCAGCTCCTTAGGACAGGGGCTGTGGGCCATTCATACCCACCATGGGCACACAGGGCCTGGCCGAGCAGAGCCATGAATGTTGTGGAATGAATGGTGGAGGCCTGCCTGCCTGCCCCAAAAGCCCTCTGCCCAGGGATTCCCCAGTGGGAGACGGGGAATTTTTAACTAGTGGGTGGAGGGCACAGCAGGATGGCCTGAGACTCTGGTCTTTTTCACCTCTAAACAAAATGTGCCAGGATGTCTTGATCATGGCACCCCTGGCTCAGAGACCTCCCATGGCTTCTTTTGTTCTGCAGCATGAAGTCTAACCCTAACCCTTATAAGTTCTTTACGAAGGCAGTGCCACCTCCTAGACCACCCTGAAGACATGCATTCTCCCCATACCTGTTACTCTCTCTCTCTCTTTTTTTTTTTTTTGAGATGGAGTTTCGCTCTTGTTGCTCAGGCTGGAGTGCAATGGCGAGATCTTGGCTCACCGCAACCTCCGCCTCCCGGGTTCAAGCGATTCACCTGCCTCAGCCTCCCAAGTAGCTGGGATTACAGGCATGTACCACCATTTTTAGTAGAGACGGGGTTTCTCCATGTTGGTCAGGCTGGTTCAAACTCCTGACCTCAAGTGATCTGCCTGCCTCAGCCTCTCAAAGTGCTAAGATTACAGGTGTGAGCCACCTTGCCTGGCCTCCCCAAACCCGTTACTCTCATCAGCGCAGGCTCCCTTCAGCTGGGGCCAGCCTCTGCTCATCTGGGACAGGACCTTTGTCCACACACTTCTTCTCCCCAGGATCCCTCCCCCTTTCCCCTGAGTCTCCTCTGAAGGTGTGCTGGACTTCTGAGGGTCTTCCTCATGGCTGCTTTGTAAAGATCCTGCCACTCAACATTCCATCTTCCATTGTTTTCTGTACATCAGGCTCTTTTCCTAAACCTCTTCACTCACCTCTGTCCTCCCCCAGCCCAGCAGAGGGCTCAACCTGCAGCAGGCACCTGACCTATTCTGCAGATGGCTGCCCAATGGGAGAGGGTTGCTACCAGGTTCCCCCCACCCTGGGTCCCGAGGGTGCCTCACCTCCAGTACTCCTCGCTGGGGCTGGTCCTCTGGAGGCTGTGGTTGAGAAGGTGGGAGAGGTTGCTGGGCAAGGTGGCCGGCCGGGAGCCATTGGTGAGGTTGGAGGCATCCAGCACTCCAGCACAGTCGCGTGTGTTCCAGGGGTTATTGCAGTAGGCCCAGGGCAGCACGTGCGTCATGGACGAGAAGAAGTAGTAGAAGGCGATACAGATGACCACATTGTAGTAGATGCCAATGTAGGTGGACACCACCATCATGCCATAGCCTACGCCTGCAGGAGGGGAGGGGCAGGGGGGCAGCCTCACACATCCAGCAGGAGGAAGTGAGGTTAATCATTTCTAAGGGCGCAAGGGGTAGGCTTTGATGGAGGGCCACAGGAAGCCCAGGTCAAGGTCTTGGTAGGGCTAAGTTGGTGGGGGGTGCAAAGGAGTTTTGTGTGTACGTGTGGTAGGCAGGGAGGGTGGAGGCCAAGTAAACAAGGGTCCCAGCATGCATCCATGGCTTAGGCCATTGATGTGGGGCTTGGGGTCAGCATCAGGGCTCTACAGAGGTCAGCCGTGTTTGTGCAGGTGGGAGAGTTGACAAGGCCCTCAGAGGCCATTGTGTGTTTCTGTGTGTGAGCGAGTGGCCCTCCCAGGCCTCACCTTTGAACATGGGGCTGATCCTCCAGACCCCCAGGCACCCCTGGCTGGCAAACTGGCCGAAGGAGAGCTCCATGAAGAAGAGGGGGATCCCGCAGAAGATGAGCATGATGAAGTAGGGGAACATGAAGGCGCCTGGGAGGCAGGGAGAGGTCTGGCTCAGGAGTGGGCTTGGGGGGATCTCACCCTGGGCTTCCTGCTCAGAAACCAACAGCAAAACCTTCGTGATTGGGTGGGACCCAAGGAGTGTGCCAGGCCTTGAGCAGGAGCCTGGGCTGAGGCACACCACCCCCAGCCTGTCTTTGAACTTGTCAGAGGCTCCCAGGAAATCTGCTGAGTAGAATCCAGGCCCCAGAGCCATCGTACTTGGGTGGGATTGGATGGTTGAACCAAGCAATTTCACAAACATAAGTTGCTGAGATCCTCAAATATCCCTGAACCATTTAGGGGCTGCCTAACCCCAGGGAATAGAACAGGGAGTGTTGGGGAGGTTGGGTCCTTTTCTCACCTCTCCTCACCTGAAAGGGGGCCAGCTGGCAGGTCCAGGCCCAAACAACAGACTGCCAGAGTCTGGGGTGGCCTGCCTTAGGCAAAGCGTGCCTAAGCCAGGGATGGGGGTAAAGGAGGCCAGGGCCAGAGGCCAGCCTTTATCTGGAGTGGGTCTGTGCCAGGAAGAGGGTGGCCCAGGCCCTGGTGGGTGGGCTTTACCCAAGTGGGTGGTCCCTGCCCTGTGCCCGCTGGGTACCTCCCCCGTTGCGATAGCAGAGGTATGGGAAGCGCCAGACATTGCCCAGGCCCACGGCATAGCCCACGCTCGTCAGTACAAACTCGATCTGGTTGCCCCAGTTGCCCCGTTTGAGGTTCTGGTCCCTCTTGGTGGCCTCGCTGGGCACAGCACCATTCTGTGGGGACAGGAGAGAAGCTACCATCAGCAAGGCATTTGTGCTTCGTGCCTGATCCTCTGGGCCTCCCCCAGCAGGGACACTGTGGACCCTCCAACACCCCTCCCCGGGCTGCCCCTCTGCTGGCAGGAGCCTCGGGCAGGCCTGGCAGAGGAGGGAAGTAGGGAGGAGTGGCTGCCAGAGGGCGCCAAGCAGAGCCTCCCTCACCAGCCCCACAGCACCCAGTGCCAGGTGTACCAGCCCACCTGAGGAGCTGCTGCCAGCGTCCAGGAGGTGGGACATGGAAGAGGGAGCTAGGGCCAAGAGTCCCCAAGTCCCTCTAGAACCTCCCCTCGCCCCTCTGGGTAAGGATCTGGGAGCAGCTGAGCGTCATACCAAGCAGCCAAGTCAGGCTGGGCACAAAGGGGCCTGTGTCCAGACAGCCCCCCCACCCGTCGCCTACCACATCACCAGGCTGAGCACGCTGCCCGTGGGCAGGCGACTGTCGGGGAGGGGAGGCTAGACCCCTCCCCCCGCTGAAGGCTTCTTCCTGGGGGCACAGAGTGGGCAGGGCTGGGGGGAAATGGGAGAGCAGCTGAGCTGGACCAGACCTGGAGAAGGCATTCTGGGACTCTGGGTGGGAGGGCCTGGGGAGCCAGCTACACTACCCATGGCTGGGGAGGGGCCTTGGGGACCTGACCTGGGCCACAGCTAGGGTGTGCTGGGCTCTGAGTTAGGGAAGGAGACAGGAGTTGCAGGCCTTGTGCCAGACTCTTGAGTACAGACTCTGCTAGGGAAATAGAGGGAGTGGCTCCAGAAAAGGTGGCAGGGAGAAGTATCTCTGAACAGGGAGAAGGGGGCTGAAGGTCAGGAGAGGCAGATGCAGGGATTTGCCCCAGGGAAGAATTCGGGGTCTGCACAACTGGGCTGGTGGTCTGGGCCCCTCTGAGGACAGCCCCCGTGGGACCCCAGGCCCAAACTGGAACTGGCTCTGCAAGTCCCTTGGTTAAGTAAGTCTATTAATAAGTGCCACACTCCTTCCACCTCCCTCCCACAGTGGGCAGGAAATTAACCAGAGCCCGAGGGGCCCCAAGGGTCTCACTAAGGAGACAGGGACTCATGGTCACCAACGGAAACACAGAGTCCCTAGTGCCAGAGACAGCCTCCCAGAGGTGAGCTATTCCCGAGAGAAACAGACAGTCTCAACATCAGAAATGGAGCCCCAGAGCCTCAGAGAGAGGACAGTGACGTGACACTGAGCCTCCACTTGAAAAAGACATATTTGAGGACAGCAGTCACCCTGGTCAATAAGCGAGACAGTCTGGTGCAGGTGAAATGCCATCAGACTCTGATGCTGATGAATACAGATGGGACCCCGAATGGCCTCCCTGGACCCCACGTGCCTTAGATAGGCCATGTGGAAATGTGGGCAAATGAGGCACCAAGGCCTGGTGGGTGGGCACTGCAGCACAGACACCTTTGTGGGGCAGCCATCCTGTGTGTTCAATCCAGCATCGACCCTGCAGAGATGTGACCCTCACACCCTCCAGAGGGCAAGGGCGCAGCACCCAGGACCTCAGGTTTCCTTCAAGGAGCACCCAGAGTAAATCAGTGTCTGAACAGGCCTTCTTTCATTCATTCATTGATTCATTCATGCAATGACAGATTTACTGACACCGGCTATGTGCCAGGCACTGTGCCAGGAAGTGAGACTTCAGCAGAGAGCTCCTACCATCTCAGAGCTGGGAGTCTAGCGGAGGCACAAGCCGTCAGTGAAATGAACACATCCATCATTTTTAGATGCGGCTTCAGTGCGACCAAGCGGGGCTCATCTCAGTCACAAGAGTATGGAAGGAGGACAAGGCAGGAAAGCAGGCAGAGGTCAAGAAGGCCTCCCTAATGAAGAGGCTTGAAGACACACTTGGCACTGGGAGAGGGTGGCCCCTGGCCTGAGCGTGCCCTCTGTGACATCCCCCTACAGAATCCTGCCTGAGCCTGTCACCACCTCCTGAGGCCTTCACTGGGGCAGGTGTAGCAAGATCACAGCATCAAAGGGCCATTTTTTGGAGGGTGTGAGGCCAGGTGGGGTTAGTTTATCTGATCCCAAACAAATACCAGCCAAATAGGGCTCCTATATGTTGACCCTACAATAACAGTTTTATTTTGTCCCAGGGCTGTTTACTTAGGGGTACAATGCCTGATTGTGCCAGCAGCACAGTACATGGATGGGGTCACAGAGCATCAGTTACAGCTGTAAAAGGGACAAATGGTCCAGGATGACCCCACGGGCAGGGTAAGAGCAAGGCCCTTTTCAGAGACCCAGGTTCCCAAGGCTCAAAGTTCAAGATCTGCTTCTTTTTCCAAGCAGGATGAGGGACAGATGCCCCACACCCCCTGACCAAGCGGGACCACATTTGGGTCTCTAAAGTCTGTTCCTCCCCTGGCATGGGGGGGGTACAGGGTGGGTGGTGATGCTCCCAGCCACGTGCCACAGACAGCCGCCTGCCTGAGCCCTCAAGAGCCAGCCACTGCTCCATTAATGAGCCATGTGCTAACCAGCTCAGCTGTGCAGGCAGCAACCCAGGGAGGCCACAGCCCCCAGGATAGGGGCTGAACTGGGGTTGGTGATGGGGCTCTGGCAGGAAGAAGCTGACAACACTAAAGGTCTGCTTTGCGCAGAGGCTCCTTGCAGAAACAGCACCCACTTCTGCTTGGGCCTGGGTCCCAGCACTGTGGCGCTTGATGATGGGAACCTGGCCCACGCTTGGCCTGTGACTTCAACTCCAGGGCTGTCTATACTCAGGTAGCTTGGTTGGGGAGGGGTGAGCTCTCAGTGGAGGACAGAGCAAGCCTACCTTTCTCCAAGCAAACTGGAGGAAAGACTCTCCCCCAAAAATTACAGGCCCTTTCTGGGTGCTCTAGTTTCTTTCCTTGGGCAGCTCTCTCCTGGGGACCACCCCGCACTTCCCTCCTGAGCCGCGACATCTTTTCCAATACTGCATGGCTTTTTTTCCCTTTCTGCATAACCTTTCCTATTCTAAGCCTGTAGTTTTTCTTGATCTGCTTGGTGGACGGCTGTGTCACTGATACGAACTGCCCTTGCAGTGGTCATCAGCTGAGATGGCCATGGAAAAATCCCTTTGTGCTCACAATTTGACCCAGTCTGGCTACCCGTCTGCCTGAGCCAGCTCAGCCCCACAGATGGGCTCTGCTCCAGGCTTCTTCTGCCCCCCCATCACCCACCATCTGCCCCCCTTCTGCTTGCCCTCACTCACATCTCAGTGGGGAATTAAACCGCAGTGGCATGGTTCCCTCTGGCTCGGCCCCTCCTATGCAGGCTCCCTAGATACCCCCTATGTGCCCTGCTACCCTTCCCAGCAGCTCTGAGAGGCCACTGCCAGGACAAAGTAGCCTCCACTCAGCACTGCCATGGGCCCAGCAGGTGGTCTCCATGACAAGACTACCCTGCCCTGTTCACAAGCTCTCCCAGCCATGGAGGGAATAGAGGCTTTCCTTCCATGGCGGGGTGGGGTGAGCTGGCCACCACACACACACACACACACAGACACAGACACACACACACACACAGACACACGCACACGCACACACACACCCCTCCGAAGTTCCCTTACCCTTAGAACCAGTCATCGAGACAGCAGTGTCCACCCTAGCACAAGAACTTAAGATCTTTCTTGGTTTAACAGCCTCCTACCCTGTCCCTGCCTCGCTGGGTGAGCCACACTGAGCAAAGTCACTTACATAAGTCCTTTACACAGCCCTCTGCCCGGCTTATTTATTGCTCTGGCTAAGCCTCTGGAATTAAGGCTGCTCAGCTCCAAGGGCAGAATCCAGATCTCCCACTCTGCCCAGGGCTTGGCAGAGGCGGGCCACTGGTGCAGGTGAGAGCCCTGGTGCTCCGGGGCTGCCTGCTCCTCCAGTAGCCCTGGGCAAGTCACTTCCACTCTGGGTATCAGGAGGCAGACTAGATAACCTCACTATCAGATAAGCTCCAGGGTGTTCAGGATGGTGTGGCCATAGGCTAGATAACCCCACTGTCAATCCATCTGCCTGATTCCCAGGATAGACAGCATCAGCAGCTACTCATATTCCACAGCTCTCCCTCACCTGGAATTTTGCTATGTCTGACTTTCCACTGGTTCCCACTAGCTTTCTAGATTACTGAAAAAATATTTTGCACTTTTTTTTTCCGTTTATAAAAGCATGATAAGCTATCACAGAAAAAATTAGAAAATACAGAAAAAGGTAGAGAGAAATGCAGCAGCAAAGCGCACTCCTAGAGCAAGCCACGGCCAGCCTGAGGATGCACTCCTGCCTTTCCATCTTGCGTGGACACCGGGAGCCCAGCTCTCCATCCTGGACAGTGACTCTGCTCTGGTATGAGACTCCTGCCTCCTATATCAGGGTCCAGTGGATATTTTTGTGAATTGTGAGCTTCCCCTTCCTGCTCTCAGTGGACACTGAGGAATCCTGGAGCTGCCCTGGCTGGGCGGGGCCCTCTGGGACCCAGCAGGCTTCGTGTTTAGGACTCTCCAGCCCCAGGGTGTGCTCATGGGATGAAGTCCCATCCAAGACAAACTTTATGGAGGAGAATGGGCAAGACCTCACATCCCAGACTGACTTTGAGCCAAATCAGATCACTGACAACTTTCTCTAAGATTCCCCAATGGGGAATCTAGATGGAATAGCCATTACAGTAAATTGTGGCTGCCTCAGAAGACCCCACTACCTCCTGCCAGGCACCCCTCAGTTTTTGTTCTCTCTTATCCGTCCAGGGGCCAGGCCCACAGGCAGCACCTACCCTGCAATGACAGAATCATCTGTCCTTCACCTACATGGCACTGAGTAGTGGCAGAGAGACCCAGCTGCAGCGCTGATCTCTGGGGTCAGTTACCTGGATATGGGAGGGGCTGGGGCAGGAGGTGGAGGGGCAGAACATGGAAAAATCTGCCTCAGGCCCGAGTCCTCAGCAGCCATTAGTGCCTCCTGCCTCCAGGAAAACCTCAGAGTCATCTCTGGGCGCCTCTCAGGACTCCAGGGTCCTTCAGAGTCCAGGCCTTCATCTAGTAGGTGAGAGGGAAGGATATGCCTTGTGCCTATCCATTGCAGAACCCTGATTGGCAGCAAGGGACCTGCCAATATTGTGGGCAGCAGGCAGACTGGCACCCCCAGGCATGCTGGGCTCCACTCCAGGCCCTGGGGAAAGTGATGGAGGACCCCGGGCAAGCCCTGCCCAGCCCCTCACTTCCCACCCCAGGGAAGCCCAGCAGGAGAGACTGGAGGCCACAGTCCTGTCCTGTGCTGCATCGGCTGAGGGTGGCTTCTATCCTCACCAGCTGACAGTGGGCAGCTCTGGGAAGTGGCCTTGGTTCTTGACCCCAGCAGTCCTGAGGTTTGAGGGCAGCCCTGTATTCCGCTCCTCCCAGACCCATCCCACATCGCCTCAGAGGGCATTCCCTCTCTTGCCTTCTGAAGGTCAAGTCGGGATGTCCTACAGGGGAGAAGGGTAGCTTTCGCGTCTCCCTCGCCGACACCCGCTGCATGTGCCTGACGTTTCCGCCAGTCCCCAGCGTCCAGGGATGAGGACACGCCAGCTCCCAGCCCATGCGGGCACTTGCCCTGGACCCTGGAAAATGCTCTGTGGGGTCTTTCTCTTCCCAGCTGAGACTTTTGCCCCCTCCCCTCCCCACCCCTCACCACTGAGCCCATGTGCCACGTTCCCCTGCCTGCTCACCCACTCTCCCCATAGGAGTAACTGCCGTGGCACAGACAATGAAGCTGTATTGATTAGTACAATTCCTGGGCACCTCCGGCCCGTCTCCCCGGGAGCTAGGACAATGCAGCTTTGATACACAGAGCAGATTCTCAGCAGGTCCTTGGGCTGGGGGAGCCCTCACACCCCCACTCTCCTCCCCTTCGCCCCCGCCACACAGCTAACTCTTCCTGCACTCCTTTGCACAGTTGCAACTTTCTGGGTCACTTTGGCTGGTGTCTGTCTCACTTGCTGGCTGTGACTGCCCTCCCTGGCACAGACCATTCAGCCCCTCTCCCCACCCCCAGCCCAGCCTCTCGGCCTGCCTGGCACCAAGGAGGGGGCTTGACCTCCTGGAAGGTGACTGACCTGTTCTGGGGAAGAGGGGGCCACAGGTCCATGAGCCACAGACATCCCCGGTAAGCACTCGCAGCCAGCGTGTCTCCGCCGCTCATTCACACCTCTGCCAGCTCCAGTGAGACACTGACGCATCCCCTGCCTCTCCCACTGCCGGGCTGGGCAGCGTCAATTACTTTCACCTCATCTCCTCCCGAAGCTCTGCCTACCCCCTCCCCTGGCCCTGCCCCTCCGGCCAGTCCCCATGCAGCCCAGCACGGGTGCTCCAGAGCTGGAGAGTGGGACGTTTGGGGTTTGTTGTGTTTTTCCCTTGTTCCCAGCAAGTAACTGGAACAAAACACACACACACACACATACACACTAGGGCAGAGCGAGCGAGAGGGTAGCTCACTCCCCCTACAGAGCTGGCCAGATGCTGTCTGAGCCCATAGGCCTGGCACTGGGTGGGCTCCTGGTAGGGTAGTTGGGTGTCTGATGAGTGATGAGGTCTGCCCCATTGGGCCCTGGATGGTGACTGGCAGGAAGATGGAAGGTATAGTCCACAGGGCACCACCAGAGCAGCTCAGGCTCCTCAGAGGGGACCAGCCGGGAGAAACCAAGCCCTGGGGCTGTACCTGCCCCCTCTGGAGACGGGGACTCCCAGCCCACCAGGGTGATGGGGCATCTTCCTAGGAGAATGTGACTGACCATGCCAGAAAGCCCTGGCCTAGTGAGCCATGCTGTCACCTGTCCGAACAAAGATGGTGTTAGCCAAGGGGGCAGTCATCCCAGAGTCCAGACAAAGCGGGGCTGTGGAATAAGAACCCGTGAGGATTTGTGCCATGATGCCCAGAAAGTGAGGCACTAGTCTGGGAGTGTGTGCGGCGTGGGCTGGCAGGTCCAGTGGTGTCATCACCATCACTTTAGTCACCACGACTGTGGTGGGATGCCATTCAAACCCATCCAGTCCCTTTCTCTGAGGCCACACACTGGTCAGTCTCCTGCTGACCCCAAGATACCGCACACCAGTGGCTAGGAAGGTGGGCATAAGAGTTCCGGTGCTGGGAAGGTGTCAGGCCCTTTGGAAACTGGGCAGTCAGTGGAAGGCCTGGCCTACCGTAGGACCTCAGGAAATATGAGTCCGATGGACACATGCATGAATTCTGGCATAAGGACGGCTTTCCTGTGAGTTTGGTGAGTGTGGCAACCCCATAGGGAACATAGGGAATTTTGCTGAGCACAGGATGACATTAAAAATAAAAAGACAGGCCAGGCACAGTGGCTCACGCCTGTAATCCCAACACTTTGGGAGGCCGAGGCGGGTGGATCACCTGAGGTCAGGAGTTCAAGACCAGCCTGGCCAACATGGTGAAACCCTGTATTTACTAAAAATGCAAAAAATTAGCCGGGCATGGTGGCGGGTGCCTGTAAACCCAGTTACTTGGGAGGCTGAGGCAGGAGAATTGCCTGAACCTGGGAGGCAGAGGTTGTAGTGAGCTGAGATCGTGCCATTGCACTCCAGCCTGGGCAACAGAGTGAGATTCCATCTCAAAAAATTAAATAAATAAAAATAAAAAGACAGCTGGGGTACAATGGCTTAGGCCTGCTATCTCAGTGCTTAAGGAACACAAGGCAGGAGGGTCTCTTGAGGTCAGGAGTTCAAGACTATTATGAACAACATAGTGAGACCCTGTCCCTACAAAAAACTGGCCAGGTATGGTGGTATGTACCTATAGTCCCAGCTACTCAGGAGACTGAAGAAGGAGGATTGCTTAAGCCCAGAAGTTGGAAGTTGTAGTGAGCTATGATCACACCATGGCACTCCAAACTCGGTGACAAAGTGAGACCTTGTTTCAAAAAATTGATAAAAAAAAATAAGTTTGCCAGGGGTGATGGCTCATGCCTGTAATCCCAGCACTTTGGGAGGCCGAGGCAGGCAGATTATGAGTTTGAGACCATGACCATGGTCAGGAGTTTGAGACCAGCCTGATCAACATGGTGAAACCCCATCTCTACTAAAAATATAAAAATAAGCTGGGTGTGATGACGTGTGCCTGTAATCCCAGCTACTCGGGAGGCTGAGGCAGGAAAATGGCTTGAACCCCGGGAGGTGGAGGTTGCGGTGAGCCAAGATCACGCCATTGCACTCCAGCCTGGACAAGAAGAGTGAAACGCCGTATAAAAATAAATAAATAGGCTGGGTGCCATGGCTCATGCCTATAATCCCAGCACTTTGGGAGGCCGAGGTGGGTGGATCATGAGGTCAAGAGATCGAGACCATCCTGGTCAACAAGATGAAACCCCGTCTCTACTAAAAATACAAAAAATTAGCTGGGCATGGTGGTGTGCACCTGTAGTCCCAGCTACTTGGGAGGCTGAGGCAGGAGAATTGCTTGAACCTAGGAGGCGGAGGTTGCGGTGAGCCGAGATTGTGCCATTGCACTCCAGTCTGGGTAACAATAGCAAAACTCTGTCTCAAAAAAAAAAAAAAACCACAGAGAAAAAATTAATAAAATAAAAAATAAATTTAAAAATAAGATAAAATAAAAAGTCACAAGCTAGCCAGGCACAGTGGCTCATGGCTATAATACCAGCAGTTTGGGAGGCTGAGGAGGGCAGATCATCTGAGGTCAGGAGTTCGAGACCAGACTGACCAACATGGAGAAACCCCATCTCTACTAAAAATAAACATTAGCCGGGCATAATGGTGTATGCCTGTAATTCCAGCTATTCGGGAGGCTGAGGCAGGAGAATCACTTGAACCTGGGAGGCGGAGGTTGCAGTGAGCTGAGATCCTGCCATTGCACTCCAGCCTGGGCAACAAGAGTGAAACTCCGTCTCAAAAAAAAAAAAAAAGTCCCAAGCTTTAGAATTTGACAGGCCTGGGTTCAAACCCTAGCTCTGTCAATTTCTCACCATACATAACCTTAGGCAAGTCCCTTAACCTGATTGATCTCAGTTTCTTCATCTCTAAAATGGGGATGCCATCTGCCAATCATTGAATCTAGTGAGCACTGGTAATAACGGCAATAGAAAACACATAGTAAGTGCTTGCCGTGGGCCAGGTACTGTCCTGGCTTGACACACATGGGACACATGCTTCATAGACAGCCCATCACCCTGTGGGCACTCACCTAGTCTGGTACAAGTTAATTTCCCATATGCTAACTCATTGGGTCCTACCAGCTGTCCCATGAGGTAGGTCCACTGTTATCTCCATTTTGGTCTGGGGAAGATGGGGCAGGCCTTGGCTCAAGCAAGTGTCCTAAGGATGGCCCCAGATGCTACTGACTCAGCTGCTCACTGAGCCAGCCTTACGCGCCTGGTCCCCAGACACACTCCCCTGACTTCCTGCGGGAGCAGACTGAGGGCCAAGGTGCTGGCTGGGCCACTGGCTCCAGGAAGGTCCAGTCACCCATGATGCCCAAATGCTCACTTCCACCCAGGGTGGGATCTGGGCTCTGGCTGCCCTGGCCTGGGCCGGGTGCCCAGAACAGGCAGCCCCGGCTGGATGGCTTTCCCTGGCTCTGGCCATGGGGACAGGAGGCGGCAGCAGCCCAGCCGGGCCCTGGCCATAATGAGGCCTCATTAGTGAGATCCAGCTGCTCTAGCCCCACTTAGGGAGGCCGACTCCCCCAGCTCCCGCCTCTGACTTCTCCTATTAAGAGTGGGCATGCTTCCAGAGGGGCAAGGAGTCTAGGGGCTTTGTTGTCCCCTGTGACTCTGGAAGGAAGGTCCCACTGAGCTGGGACTGAGAAGTGCCAGGGATGGCGGAGGGCTGCAGGAAGGCTGTGTGGGAGGCCAGGCTACAGGGTAGAGTAGGTGGGCTAGAGAGGAGGTGGGGAGGGAGAGAGAGGGCAGGGCCCCCAACAGAGAGGAGGCTGAGGAAGCCTGGGCCTTTTCCTCTGGATCTAGATATTGTCCATTTCACTGGGAGCAGGTAGCCGCTAATCTAGGATCAGCAGAAGGTCACACTGCTGAGGCTGTCCTGGCTAGAAGAGCACCTCCACTGTGCTAGGCCTTATCTAAAGAGAATGCCCACTGTGTGCCACTCCCTGAGCTGGGACAGCACTTACTAGATGTCAAATCTTGTGCTGGAAGCACCTGCTGTGTGCAAGAACCTGGATCCACAGAGTGCTCACTGGGTGCTGAGTCACATGCCAAGACAGCACCCATTGTGTGTCAGCCCCAGCCTGGGAGCCCCTGTGGTGTGCTAGGTCCTGCACCAGGGAAGTATCCCAGGTATGCTGGATACTGCGCCAGGTAAGGATCCATGTATGCCCAGCTCTGACCTGAGTGAGCACCCACTGTGCGCCTAGCAGTGTGCTAAATGAGTGCCTACAGCGTGACAGGCTCTCGACTAAGGGAGTGTCTAATGTGTGCCAAGTCTGCACTAGTTAAGCATTTACCACATGCTAAGACTTGGGTTAGGTGAGTGCCCAGGCAGGGACAGGCCCTCTACCAAAGGAGTGCCCAAGGTGTGCCAAGCCCTGTGCTTGGTGACCTCCCAATAATGTGCCAAGCCTGTACTAGTTGAGCACTTGCTACATGCCAACACTTGGGATGGGTGAGTACCCACTATGTGCCAGGTGACGGATGCTACAGACAGGAGGTGTCCACATCCTCGGGGCAAAACATATGAGAACAGGTCAGGGCGGAGCAGCCCCTGGCAGCCCATGGTGCTTGCAAGGCCTTCTTGGATTTGGATGCTCTGGCACCCAGAGCCCTAGCCCAAATGAGTCTGTTCCTGTTCCTTGTGAGGTCTCCCTGTGGCAGAAACAATCAGTGTGCTCAGACATGGGAAGGGGTCAAAGAAGTTCACCAAGGCCTGGATTGTCCAAAACTCTGCATGAGTGCATAGTGGCTCTATGGAGGGACTGAGGTGGCCAGCCTGGGAAACGATGTGACATTGGTGGGGGAGGACTAAGACTGAGCCAGTGGGGGCTCTCTTGTCTCCTGTCCTGGGTCCCTCTCCTCCAGCCCCTTGTTCTTTGAGACCTAGGTGGCCCTGCCTTGCATGTGTACGAGGCCCTAGGTCTCCATGGAAGGACACCCTATGCACCCCCTAGTGCCCCCAAGCATCCCAGCTGCTCCCAGGCTTGGAGGCACCCTCGCCAGCTGGGTTCTCGCACAGCCCTGTTCTAGGAGCTGCTGAGGCGTGAGGGAGGCAGCTGAGCTGGCCTGGCAGAGACCATCTGGGCTGGGAGTGGGGGAGGGACACGTGCAGTGGGCATGTGGGCCTGGGCACATGCTGGGAAGTTGCTTGCTACCCATGGGGCACTGGCTGTGGCACCCAGCAGAAGCTCCAAGGGTAACACAGGGTGTCTGCTGACACTGAAGAGACTTGGAGGGCCAGTGTCCTCACACCCAAACCTGGGTAAAGGGGGAGAGAAGTGAGGATCTCATGGTAGGGACCAATGCCCGCTCCATGCATGCCAGGGCACAAACAGAGCAGCAGAAAGAAGCCACAGAGAACTGGGAGGGTCCAAGTGCCTTCCTTGCATGCCCCTCAGCATCCTCCCTTTTGATCTACCAGGGCATCCAAAGAAGAACCCTATCAGAATGCAGCTTCCTTAGCCACTGGCCATAGGAAGACACAGAAGACACAAACGTGCTGACTGAGCTGCCTGTGTTAGCAGAGACGGGGCTTGGCCAGGACCAGATGCCCCATGCACCTCAGAGGCTGTGTCTAGAGACAAGCACTGACGGAGGTGGCTTCAGTCCCAAACTGGGACCCAAGAATAGAGTGGAGTAGTCCAAGGTCACCAGCAGAACTGAAAAGGAGGCAAGAATAGAATCTCCAAGCAACCACTGGGGGTGCCCATGGGACAGATGTTATAAGCCTCAAACGCAGGAACAGTGGGCAAAAGCCAAAGGGCAGAGAGCGAGGAGGAGAGCGAGCCCCAGCTATCTTTAGGCACATCCTCGTGCTGGGAACAGGAGTCCCAAGGCAGCATTCCCATCCACAGGCAGGCTGGCCACGCCAACCGGCAGAGCACAGTTGGGGAAGTTCAGCTCAGGCAGGGGCTCTGGGATACTGGGATTCAGGCCCAGCTCAGGCAGGGACTCTGGGACACTGGGATTCACATCTCCCCTGCCTGCCCTCCCAGTCCTTCTAGGTCACTCCAGAGAAGGAAGAGCATCCAGGGAGTACTCAGAGGTTTCATGGGGCTGAGAATCTCCATGGCAGGAAGGGGCAGAGCCACATCTCACTTCCTAACACAAGCCCATGGCAATTCCAAGACTTC